TTCTATTGTTGCAATAATAGACTCTGTTGTCGGCATATCCTGTACAGAGATAAAATCTTCTGAATTAACAAACTCAGACACTTTCATTCTAACTTCTTCACGATCGATAGGAAATCGATTAACAAGTTCAATTAGCTCCGTATTTGTTGATGAAACAACATCTTCGTTTTCAACAGCCATATTATTAGGTGTAATACCCGTTTTTTGCCATGCGTGTGTTATTGTCTCGGTACTTACTTGGTTCCATGCAATTCTAACAAATTCGATAGCTTCACGAATATTAGTTTGAGGAATATTTGAAATGGATTGGTTCTGAGCAATAGCGTTATCGTACTTTTGAATTCGATCGATGCAATAATGTTTTCGATACTGACTTTTGAAACTGTAAATGATCCCAGCATCGCACGGCTGGAGATGCGCCGTACAATTAGGAGGTAAAAAATGTACCGTAATGTTCGAAAACGTGCTATTATCGTCGATCTTATGCGAGGAAGCGTTGTCTACGAGCAATAGAATGTTTCGGCTTGATTTACGCATAACTTCGTTAAGTTTACAAAGCCAGTGTTTGAAAATTGAAATCTGCATCCATGAGGTCGAGTTCCAATAGTAATGAACTGGTAGAGTATCTTTGTCAATTCCGTTGAGTGGTCGTGGATTTTGATATTTATGAATCAACAAAGGTTTCAATTTTTCTCCTGTAGCACTTACTGTAAACATTAATGTAACGCGATTTTTTGCTTTCTTTCGCCCTGTTACAGGGCCATGCGCTAACGTTTTAATAGGATTCAGACGATAAAAAAGTGCAGTTTCGTCACAATTGAAAACGTTTTCAATCGGATATAATTGAATAAGTTGTTGTAATTCGTTGCGGAAACGTGGCAAGTTTTCCAAAGGTGCAGAATTAGCTTCACCTTGACGAATAAATTGGCTTAGATTGTGACGTTTTTTGAAATTTGTAACCCACCCAGGAGAAGCTTTGAAGTCATTAATGTTCATCTTGTCTGCAAATTCTTGTGCTTTAACTTTTAATATTTCACCAGTAAGAGCTTGTTCATGATGTATAGCATGTTCAACCCACAAAGCGAGTGCTGACTCAATGGTAGGAAACCCCACAGCCTTACGGCGCTTAGAATTAGCAAGTGGTGAATTTTTATCTAAAGCTAACCAAATGTCTTTTTCTGCAAGAATATCATGAACGGTGTTGGGTTTTATTCCGAACTCGATTGCTAATGCCTCCAACGTAATATTGGGATGCTTTTGCGCTTTAATACAAAGAGATTGTTTTTCAAGGCCAGTCAGCGTCTTTCGGGTTACTTTTTTCTTTACTGTTTTGTTTCTTGAATCGGATAACATTTGAAGAACCACTTGTTGAACTTTCTCCACAATCGTTCATTCTGAAATATTAATCAAATGAAAGAGTTAATTGAACTTTCCCTGTAAAAATATATACAGCGAAATGTTCGAGAATGCCCTATGAACAATCAAGCGATTGTTTGTCTGCGCGCTAATAGTATGGCTGATTTTCGATCATGGGATTTAAGAATGAACCAATCAAATGAAATTCACGTGATTACTTCGGTATATCGAGATCAAATTATTATAGTCGGTTAGCCAAAAATCTTCGGCTTATCGTTTAACGCGAATTTACTAATTAATTTCGGCTTAAGCTATAATAAAATTTTGGGAAATCAAAAAAACTTCGGCTTAATGCAATTTCGGCTTAGCATGACTTCGGCTTATCGAGTTTCACTTGTATATAGCAAAATAAATCCTGGTCGTCCATAGCTTATAAAGCTTGTAAACCTTCCGTATCAAAATTTAATAAATTTTTAAAAATTTGTCCTAAAAAATGTCTTTACACTCCATAAGCGATATAAAATTGTTTTTTTTTTCCTGAACATCCAAAAAGACCAAAGATGGAAAAGGATGCTATTGCAAAGTACATTGGATGTAGTAAAAGATACAGTGACTAATTGAGTCAATAAATGGAGGAAATCGAAGGATCTAACTGATAAACCAAAATCCGGCCGGTGGCGCAACACGACCGCTAAACAGGACAAGAAAATTGTGAAGCTTGCAGAGAAAGAAAACGACCCAACTAGCTCTAATATCCAACAAGAAATGAAAAAAAAAGGGTGTAAACGTTAGTGTTTGGACTATTAGACGCCGTCTTCATGAAGCTGAGGGTAAGTACATGAACAAAATTCCTAAGCCTTTGCTTACAGAAAAGCATTGGAAAAATCGGCTACAGTGGGCAAAGGCTTTAGTTTATTGGAATAATAATTAATATATTAAAATCTATTTAAAATAATATTTGATTTGAGCTGCAGCAATATGTGAACAAAATGGTAAATATTTAATAGCAAGAAAATTAATTATTAATAAGTTGTTGATAAAAATCTTGCTTTGTAACTTGTAAGCAAGCCATTACTTATTAACGTTGAGCAGTCTTTATGAGTTATGGTAAAAAAAAAGCCATTTTTTCTTAACTTTGCATGTTTCAATATATTTAAACCGACGTTGAATAGTTTGGCCAAAATAAAAATTAAACTCTGGTTTACATTACATCACCGGAATAACAATTCCGTTATTCGTGATCGGGTTTGCGGATATGTGTAAAGCTATACACAGTGGCTTTCGATATAATGATCCCTCGATAATATGAAGTTGGCTAATACGATACTCTTTCCTGGAACCAAGTCACTTATAATAAAATTGGGCTCGATGTAATAAAGATTACTTATAATCTCGCGATATAACGTCATAATGATGTTGTTTTGCGATTAAACGATCTCGATACAATAAAGTGCGTAAATTATCACTATAATTGGTAATCATTTTATCAAGCAGAACATCATATTGATGTTTTTAAGATAAGCTTTACTCGTTCTCGTGACTACTAAAAAGACATATGAACAATAGAAGTATGATTAGTAAATAAAGCGGGTTTCTTTAACGGGTGTTCAAAAAAGAGATTTGTGCTTAAAAAAGAAAGCTCAACCTAATTTGACTCAAGCGGCGCTTGCTAAATTGTATGGAATTAAAGAAAATACGGCCTCTACCATTTTCAAAAATTCATCATACTGGCTGATTTTGAACGAAAATTTATTTAGCGAACGAACATATCCCGTGATTGGAGAAGCTCTTTATACGTAATTAGAACACGCAAATCAAGTTTCCCAAAAAAAAAGCGAAAGCTTTTGCAACTCTGGCAAATATCGACACCTTAAATTCTTTTCTAAGATAGAATAGTTATCTGAACAATTGCCATACTGATATAATAAAGAAATTTTTGCTTGATATAATGATGTTTCACGTGACTCGAATATGATCTTCGATAATATGAACCTTTTGGTCCGGCCCGACAATTTCATCTTATCGAGAGCCATTGTGCATTATAGAACCATGTTATAGAACATTTATACACTTACGGAATACATTGTGTAACGGGTCCGGTTGACAATCACTTCCTTTCTTCGACAATTATTTCCCGAAAAAATTTTGGTCGGTATTTGATTTAGGCAAAAATAAACTTTGGTGGGCAAATTTAGGCGTTTTTATAAGCATTAGCAGATTAATGTCATTGTTGGAAAAATGATTGTCGGGAAGCGAGCTGTCTGTCGTCGAAGTAATTCTAGGGAAAAGGCACCCATGTGTAACAGTTTGAAATGCTATATAGAACTTAACGAAAGAAACTTCCATTATTCAACAGCACTTCCACATAGAAATTACGTAACAATGTAAAACAATATATATAGAGCGTGAATATATAAACATGCCCTTCAAAGTTGAATGTGAGGAGAAAAAATGGCAGCTTCAATTAATCAAAAATCAACTTCAGGTCATTCTCGTACGGAACTATTTACAACCACCGATTCTAACTGTACGGCAATGTATTTTATTGATAACCTTACTCCGACTGAACAAGAACTTCTTCGCAATCCACCTTATGCTCTTAGCATATCTTTCGATAATATTCTCAATCCCATACGCAAAGGATGCAGAAACAGCAGCAAGAAAAACATCCCACCAAGACCTCAAAATGCATGGATATTGTTTCGCAGGAATTTTGAAAGTCGAGCACGTTCTCAACGTCCTGGCGGAATGTATACTCTTAAAGAAATTTCCAAGACAGCCGGCGAAAGTTGGAAAGCTCAACCAGACAAAGTCAAACGATATTTCAACGTTCTTTCCAAACTAGCTTTATACAGACACAAGGTTATGTATCCGGGATATATCTACAACTCGCGAAAATTTAAGAATGGTGAAAAATTTATTTTTAAGCATATGGACAAGGACGAAATTGCGAAAAGTTGCAACAATAAAACGAATTTGTCTAAGAAGGCTAAAACAAGCAGAATGAGCGACACCGGATATATTAGTGTTGGCAGGAATGAAAGTTACCCAGAAAATAAGTACATTAACGAGCAACCATCTACCTTACCGACTCCGAGTCTTATCGTTGACATTTCTCATAATTGGAGCTTCTCGCCTTCCTTACCCTTGCACGAGGTTTCCGATGGTTTCGGCGTACTCGACTTTCCCACTCAAATGCCTGTTTATCCATCCACACTTTCCCCATATTTTATTCAAACTTTTCCTTCTTTCTCTCCTCAATGTTTCTTCGATAATGATAATATAGATGCTAATGAGCAGATAAGTGATCCGGATTATGCGTTTGAGTACTACTCCAGTCAAGTAGAGTTGAAAACATTATTTTACGCCTGTAAAGAAACTATTGGCCAAAATTACAGCGTTTAATATTTTCGGCAACAAAAGGGTCTCACATACGACATACTCGGATGCAATAAGGAAGAAAACTATTTGTGGCGAGCGATTATAAAGAAGGAGGCAATCGATCCAATATCGCCAAGTATTTGAGTCCGATCTTGTTAAACAAGGGTTTAGAGCCTATGCACTTAAATGATATGGTGCATACGGAAATATATAGTGTACATTAGATTAGATTAGTATTATTTTGCACATAATGGTAGATTTTGTACATAGAATTTGAACGATGCAGATAAAATATCTATCTGTCTTTCTCTGTGAATAAAATGATCATATTTACAACCCGTTTGTAATGAGTACTGTAGCAACTAGCATGTAAACTATTGGACAAATTATCTACGATTAGGGCCTTTTGAAACGAATAAATATTTCTTCACTGTACTGTTAACAAAACCCAGTTATCATATGACTTAATTGACATTGTTGGTGCAGCTAATCTTGTTTGACTTTTTTAGCTTGATAAAGCCCTCAATCCGAGCTCTTGGTGCTTATCCAGCGTACAAGCTTTCTTGGCCTACTTCTTTATTTACTCGTATTGCAGAATTGTTGATTAACAGCATTATACTGTCAATTTGCGTGCTTATAGACTAAACCATCGATGCGGCTTTGAAACATGAATTGCAAAATTTTGTCAACTAGTGAATTGACGGCATGCAGTAACAATAAGGCTGATATATGTGTATAATTTCTACGCTTGCAAGTAAAGTGGTTACAAACTTTATTCGTCTGCTATTTCCAAACCATGTATGTTATTCTGCATATATTTTTCTATAAGCTTGTCTTAAACATGCGTTATATTTTGCGTTGTCTGATTGTGGAATTAAATACCTCTTTTTTTCAGCACAAAGATAAACACCTGTTTTTTAGATTCTACCAAGAGAGCATCCTTTCTGTTACATCCAAGAAGTAATGAGACGTCTCATGACTGAGTTCAATGCATTTTTATAACTATCTAATTATAGTGACTTGGTTCTTCTACGTAGCGGTTGTTGTCATAACTTGTCTTCAAAGCTGCTGGTTTTAAACGTTCAATTATTCTATACTATGTTCGAATATTCAAATATCTCGATCTTAGTTGTTCTTTATACAGCAACATTATAGCATGTCTCCCATATCGGCAAAAACAAAGGATCGATTCGGCTGTGAGGTGGAACATAACTATTATTACCTTAGTTGGTAATCATGCAGGATTGCGCCTAGCACAGACTTTCCAATATTGCAGTATTTTTTGTTAATATAGTGGAGGTACATGTATACTGATGTTAGGAAATGGCTCTGCAAGTTTGCGTAAAGAATATAAGGAAGTTGCAACGAACAAATGCTCGCATCACATGTTTTTAATTACGGACACTTTTTTCCGACCTTTATGACGTCATTCCAGACGATTTGATTTGAATATTCTGTATAACCATTAGTTTCAATAGTCAACGACTTCTTTATTACTATAAAAAGTGTTGAGAAAAACTGTCGGAATAATTAAAGACTTGACTATTTTTGATTTGTTCGTATTTGGGAATTTCGCTTATAATAAATCTACTAAAATTGTCTAGTGTGATTTGTCTTGTACTACATCTATCTGTAACGGTAATTGTTGGGGAGGGAGAGGCACGTACTGTTTATGCATGAAACAATAGAATAGGAAAAGTGTCATTTGATTGTTTGATGTGTGACGGACGCAAGCATTTTTGCCTGCTTATTCATACATGATCTTTGCATTCGTATATTGGGACGTGTTTAGTACGTACATAACATATTTTTTTTGAATGTTGATTGAACCAGTAAAACGTTACAATACATATTACTAGCTATTGTTAGAATATATTGTTTATTGTTAAACACATTGTCTCATTTGCGATCGCCTTTCGCAATGACGGCGAAATGCATCGACAAGTTTAAAGGCTGATTTTAATTACGATTTTGATGATCTATTATTAGCTAGCGTCTGAGTTTCAACAAGATAACCCGTTTATAAATAGTAGGTTTAATTTAACTTGATAATCTAAGAATAGATTTCGATGGCGTAACCAGGGCGTACAATTCTCTATAAAATTTTACTTTTTATTTATAGCGTTGAGTACATAGAATGTTTTGGCTATTAATTACAGCTTAAGCATGCTTAAATGAAGATGCATGCTAACTAAAAAAAGCTTAGAGTTAAATAAAGGAGGAACAAAAACATCTTAACCAATATTCGATTTTTGTTATCATTTGCAAGGAAATGATAATTGTTACGTTGGTACTACTTTCCGTAGTATACTATATTTCCACCATAATATTACATAAATCAAACAGTGTGCGTTATACAGCCACAACCTTACCTTATTGGGTAACACATTTGTTGCTTTTGACCCCATCGCAAATTACGCTAATCGCGATCTCTGCGATTGCACAATATGCACACCGTTCAAAGCAGCATTGCATAATTTTTATAATCAGTATGTTACATGAATATTATTAGCTCTAATAATAGCAAAGACATTGGTTAATTTATTAGATGAATAAAACAGGATCATTAGTACTATGCATCTGCAATTAGCCCAATACTAGAACATAATAGACTTGGCAATTGTTAAAGTAACGGGAGTTGCACAAACAACAATTGCACAGTTCAATTTTGTTTTACAGAGACAACTGTTGTTATTATGATGATTTGTAGGGCTACGTTACCCCTTTGACATAAGAATTAATTCAGAAATACAATCTACAAAGAAAAAGACAAAGAAGGTAAAGCTGAATCGAGGATACAAGGAGGCGAGCTAAAAATAATGCAGGTCGAAATAATTGTTATGTTACTGATGACGAGAAAAACAAAAGCCGATTTGAATTAGTGATGTTTTTTAAAAGACTCGCTGTAACTAAATTTGTAAACAATCGTACTACCGTTTGCACAATCAACAATTAATGCAAATGAATATTAATTGTTTTCAACTTAACAGAAAGTAAATCATTTAACCGTTCAATTCTGATCTATAACAATGTACACACCATTTAAATCAATGTGACAGATTAAAACGAAATCGGATTAAAATGAAATTTTCTTTATTTTAATATGGGATTTAGGGTAACTTTTGTTAATAGAAGAGTATATGTGGGGTTCAGAGGCACTAAAAGAGGATCCAAGAGTTTCGTTTAATCCGATTTCGTTTTAATCTGTCCACAATAAATGTGTAATGTCGAATAAGTGTTCCAACAAGCTTTAGTACCTAATGGGTGATCGTGCATATAAATTAACCTAATTAGTACTGCAATATACCTCAGTTCGGGACCATCTCAGTCTAGAACTCAGTTGTCTCGGTCCAAAACTCGGACATTTTAGTTTTCTCGGTCCAGAACTCAATCATCTCAGTCCAGAACTGAGACAGGAGGTACAACATGTGCACAACGTCACTGCTTCATAGAGCGGTTTCTATTTACACATACACTAACGTATTTTAGTTAAAGAACATTATTTATCAGCATGCTCCTGACTCCGCTTACGCAGTTGTGCTTGGGAAAGATTTGAATGGGCATATTCTCAAAAGAGCTCGATGCCTATTTCGTTGCATCTATTACTCAAATCAGAATATGATCTTGATAAATCATAAGATATTGAATCAAACAGATGGCGTAATTGACATTCCTTGTTTTACACAAGCTCCGTAGTGCATAGATTTTATCAACCGGATAACAAACGAGATCATTCCATCATCCACTGCTCGCTGTCACTTTTAATAGTTAAATTATCAAATAGCAATAATCCTCTACGCGACCTTTGTCTTCCTTAAACCTCAAAATAGTAACTCACACTAGTGATGCAATTGTTCTACCAACCGTGGCTGTCTATTTTTAACTTCTTGCATCCTCTGACGTCAGGAATTATTTGACATCTACTTACTTCCACAGCTATATAAACGGGTAGAATTCAACTCTCTTTACCCCAGCTCAGAACGAGTTAACAACTACTTCAACAAACAAGGCTCTCAGAAATCGGTCTTCCTCTTATAACGATACAATTCTACTTTTACTTTTACGGTGTAAAGATCCATCCGGTCCGTGCTATTCAAAATTTATCAAAATGAGCAAAGTCGTCTGCATAATCTTTCTCTTGGCTACCCTTCTTGCTGTAATTTCTACCCCAGCCGCAGCCGCCGGTCTTGAAAAGAAATGGAATAATCAATGCTGTCCGATCGCTCTCTGTGTATTCAAAAAGGGTAGCAACTTTGAACACCGACGCAAGACTAAACGCAATACAAACTTGTTTGACGGATTTATGCAATTCACGGAAACGTTTGACAACCAATTATATATCAGCGGTTTCCTGGATGTTGAACACGTTAAAAAGGAGGTCCCGGCTGATAATCTCAACCCTGAATTTGACGTACACATAAACAAGTGCAATGACGTGAGCTTTAATAATATTGAAGAAGGCCTTGATTTGGACGATGTTGATGACATTTTCGATCTACCATTCGTTAAAGTTGTCAAAAACAAGAAGGTTGAAGATGTTGTTGACAAATGCTGTATTGTAGCAAAGGATGTAGGCAATAAGCATCAAGTTCTGGGTGTTGCAAAGGTGAAGCAAGCTGTAAAGTGCAACCCTAACAATATTGTTCTAGGTAGTGACTTCAACTAAACCAAGACAAGTTAGTTTATAGCAATCGTCTTTTTTTTGTCGTGCTTAGATATTATTTAACCTGTAATAGTACTTTTGTATAACAATAAATTTTGCCACAGTAATAATAATATAACTGCAGGTAATAATCGTATATGCATGTGATTCCTAAACCATGTGTTCTGTACATATAACTCTAGGCTATATATAAGCGGCTAATTTATGTAAATGCTGTCAGCTATGTTAAAACTTGATGTTCAACAGGATTTATTTGAACTTTTCATATTCGCATGACCACCAAGTGGTCGATATCAGCATGTGTAATTTTGTCTCCAAATAATTATATTGTGAGTTGCTTTTGACAATCACTGTACGTGGGGTGGCTGAAAAGTTCTGATTGTGGATTTTTGAAGACAATAGATATCGCAAAACGGCGTTTACCTCTTGATCAATATCTCTATGCTCGTGCAGCCGTAATTCGAAGCAATCAGCTATGGTATTGATTGCAGAAAAATTAATGTCTGTAAAGTCTTCAATGGCTAGAAAACGAAAGTCTGTTATGAATCACGGTCAAAAGATATCATCAATCTCTCACCGGCACAAAAGCGGATTCTTGATGACTTTTCGTAAGCATATAGAAATCGAGAGCAGCGAGGTGATTTCACTCAGCGACTCTGTGCTCGGGAGCCTACGTGATCTATCGGAAAACAAGAATGCTCAACAAAGAATACATACCATACGATCAAATGACTATATATAGCTGTTATCAGAATGTGGGTGGGTAAAACAGACAAATGATCAAATAGAGTTACAAGAGAAGGGTTTGATCCTTGACAAAGATCAAGATCAGGGAATATTGAAAATAAGAAGGAAAAAAATATAAATGAAGTCAGGACCTTTTATTTCCATCGTTGTAGTATTCAATACATTATCTAAATAACATAAATAAACTTAATTATTATAATCATGAGGTGTGTAAACGATGTTAGTATTAGTGTATGCTATAACCACAAATTGGAGCCTTAGTGCCTAGATTCGGTATCAACACATAACTTTCGATGATTATAAGTGTGCAGCTTGCTTCCGATGATTGAGAATAATATCTAATTGGTGAGTAGATTTACCGAACTATCACCTAAAATAAAGTTGTACTACACGTCGAATTGTCCTACCCTCAAAAAAGAAATATTATCACAATTTGGATGTGTGTAACACTTCGGATAATATCCTGATTATCATATGAAGTATCAGGTATTCTAAATCAAATGCGGATTGCGATGAAATTTTGCAAGCCATGAAATTTCTATTCTTCTATGTTTTAGGGTACTGTCGACAAATGTACATAACTCGACATACCTGGTCAATTCATGCCAACTTATTTTTCAGCTGTCCACTGAAACCTCAGGCTTGCAACTATAGTCTTTGTTTTTAAATACGTTGGGCAGTTGTTGAGATAAATGTCCACGATCAAAACTTTTCAGCCACCCCACGTACACGCATAATTGCATCCTCTTTTACTCAAAACTCTCGTTCACTCAATCCCATCTTATTCAGGATAGACTTGCCGCTCAGTTTAGTTTTACCGATATGTTTAAGCAAACTATCGTGTGAAAAGAAAAATATTTTTATGAATAAAAGTTTGTAGCATTACAAAATAACTGTCTTCCTTATAACGCGAAGAAAGGCCTTGATATAATCATGTATAATGTGGACATTTGCATTTACTTTTCTAACTAACCATTCTCTTTACGTTACCAGCACATATTTAACGTTCTATTAAATGCTTAAAAAGTCTATCGGAAGAAATCTTAAAGTTGATAGATAATACTATTTGCAAAAACCGACAATTTTCCTAAATTTTTACTTAAAAAACCGATATTACATGTTAATATAAAAATTGCGCAATTCTGATTAACGATATTATTTTGTTCACATTCATGCAAGAACTAAGCCCGATAAGCCGAATAAGCCGATATCCCAGTAGCAAAGCTTTGTTTGTGCCAAGTTGGAATAGTATCAGGGTAAATTTAATAGACATGAAATTTGGACAAATCAATGTCACAGATACGTTAATTAATTTCACTCTCTCTCTATTAATAAACCAATGTGATTACGAAACATCAACTCCAAGTTTGAGTCTGACATTGTTCTCAACAATATTATCAATTAAATGAATGTCTCTTGTACGCAACATATAATTCTTAGTAACGAAGAAATTTTTAACACATTCCAAAAACTTGACACGTGATGCAGAATGCCGAACTATATTCAAAATCAAAAAGTCCTTAAAACTCAAAACTCTTACAAACGTTGGTATAATGTTCAAACAAGTAAATACAGGAAGATATTCTCACCTTGACTGAATTAGACAGTCTATTGATTTTGTCTCCTTCTGACTGACATATGTCAATTCCGAATGTACACAAATTCCCTTTCCCTTTCCCTTTCCCTTTCCCCTTCCCTTTCTCTTTCCCTGATATACACCACACTCTGTTGTGTTTCCACAATTGGCCGTGTATTTATTTGTATTGTTGTAATTTCACTCGTTGCTTTTATCTGTTGATTACACATTACTGATATCAATATTGCTCCGATAATCAACAAAGCGATGTCGATACCCATCCCAACATAATGTGAAGTTTGGCAGTTCTCCAAGCAATTAGTGTTATTGCTGGTCGAATAGATGTCAAAGGAGGTGACTAGGCAAGTCCCGATACAACTGCTATATAAAAACTGTGACAGTCCCACCACTATACTGCCGGTCATAACAAGTGAAAATGCAAAAATTGCAATACTCCTCTTCATACTGGTAGTTGTCGTGTGTATACTACACGATTATTTGAGTTCGGGTTGCTATCTGGACCAACAGCCAGCGTTTATTCGGGTCGTATGCGACAGTCGAGTTTTGTAGCGCCTGTTGGTGAATTGTTGTATGCTGTCGATAGATGAGAGAGAAAAGAAATAATGTTTTGTTTTGTTTTGTTTTGTATTGTTTTTTACGATAAGTAAAGTGGTTTCTATATCAGTTTCTTAAATAAATTTCCTATGTGAGCTTGTAATTGCTAATGTTATAATGAGCATAAAAAATAATGGCTAAATCAACTAATAACTAAGAACTACGCATTTTTATTGTCGTTTGGCAATGTTGTGATAGACATTGGGTGTACCCCAAACGTGCCGATCTACGCTTAATTCATCAATCGAACGCAAATTAAGTGTTGGAACACAATAGATCTAATGCATAGAAAAACGTCACAAAATTATATGCAAGCGATCCATTGGTTATAATTAATAATGCAATTCATAAACCCTGAAAGATTGAGAAGCAAACCTTATTTAATGTAAACACATCTTGTTCGCTGGGAAAAAAAAGTGTTGTTTGTCAAGAAGACTGTGCTTAAATGCGGAACGATACTATTCGCTAAGAACAAGAGCTTAAATGTTGTGTTAATTGTCTCATAAGCGGAGCGAGTCTTCCCGTCGGTTCGTAGCATAGTAGCTTCACTTCATTACGCGCTTCGTGGCAACTGTTAACCATTATAAAGGCTAATGCCGGGTGGTGTTAAGTGAAATGTGAGTTAATGTTTAACATTACCTCTACTGTGTATGGAAGAGGGTTAGTTTCATATGAATGGATATAACATAACAATTTATCGTGCGCGGTGGTTATCTCATTTACTGTAGAAAAGTCTCTTGGAAGAAATTTTGAAGTCGATAGATAATATTATTGCAAAAAAACCGATAAACACCACACCAAAACCGATATTACATATTAATATAAAATTGCGCAATTCTGATAAACGATGCTATTTTGTTTATTCATGCAAGAACCTCGATAAACCGATATACCAGCAGCATAGCTTTGTTTGTAAAAAAAAACCTTCTTTGCTACTGAGTATGAACATTTACTTAATGATATTATTGCAATTGTATCATACAAACAATAGAAAAGACAAAATTTAATAGCAGATAGATAAACTTCTAATTTGTGTGTTCGACCACATTGTTTATTTCGCATTATAAGACATGGAGGTTAATATTGTAAATTGACTTGTTTAATATGTTTAATATCAACACGTAACCAATTGCTGTCAATCACAAGGTCCAGTAGGTAAAAGTTTGCTAGAGTGTTTAAGGGATTTTACATTGTTACGATAGACGGTATCCAATAAGTTCACAATATTTCCAATAAGTTATTAATATCACGCGAGTCCCGGTCGGTGCATCTGAACACCTATCAGGATCTATTACTCTGGCGCAGAATCAGGTTGCACTGCTATACTTGTTCGTTCAACAGCTGTATGCACAGCCTATACTAAATTTTCTCAACTAGATAAACCGACTTTTTACGCGCCCTAAATGTTATGGATTAGCGACATCCAATATTTCCTTGACGATATCCGCTGTTGTAATTAAAGTGTTGAATTTCTCAAAGCCAATACGACCATGTATTATCTGTTATACAGTTTAGGCATAACAGACAAGACAGACCTCGCCCGTGTTATTCGTGCTTACAAGTCAACGAAGCTGCAGTATTTTTATTTGTCATGACAACAATTATATATTATTCACCACGCTGATAGGATAAGCGAAGAGAAGGATACACTTAGCCAAGGATCCGTAATAACATATTTTAATTTTTAAAAAAAAGTCATTTAGTCAACTACACTCTGCCACTTACGCTATTTTTTTCAAAGTTATCCAAGTTGAAATAGTTTCGGGGGGTAACTTTAATAGAGGACAATCAGTGTCACAGTTACGTTAATTTCACGTTGATCTCGTAATTGAATCAATGTGTGATTACGAAAAATCAACTCCAAGTTTGAGTCTGACATTGTTCTCAACAATATTATCAATTAAACGAATTTCTCTTGTACACAACACATAATTGAGGGACCATTCTTAGTAACGAAGAAATTTTTAACACATTCCAAAAACTTGACACGTGATGCCGAGTGCCGAAACTATATTCAAAATCAAAAAGTCCTTAGAACTCAAAACTCTTATAACGTTGGTATAAT